ATCAAAAACAAACAAAAGCTAGTTCCATCAACTCCTGTTAAATATAGGGAGAAGAAAGGGAAGAAGTGCTAGGTTTTATATTTGGGGGATCAAAGATCATTGTAAATGGAGACTGCAGCCATGAAATTAAAAACAAAACAAACAACAACCAAAAACAAACAAACAAATCCCTTGTTCCTTGGAAAGAAAATATGCCAAATCTGTACAGCAAAATAAAAAGCAGAGACATCACCTTACCAACATGCATCCATATAGTCAAAGCTATGGTTTTTCTAGTAGTAATGTATGGCTGTGAGAGTTGGACTACATGGAAAGCTGAACTCCATAGAATGAGCACTTTCAAATTGTGGAGAAGACTTTTGAGAATCCCTGGGTGGGGGTTGGCGGGAGGGGTGGAACCAAGATTACAGAGTAAAGTCAGGGACTCACCTGAGGTCTCCCCAAAACACCTCCAAAGACATTGAAATAATGCTGCAAAGAAATTCTGGAGCAGCAGAACCCACAAAAGGATAGGGTGAAACTGTTTTCCAGCCCAAGAAAACTTAGAAGATTGGCAGGAAAGGTCTGTCACACCAGAGTGAGATTGGCACACAGTCAAGTGCAGGCATGCCAGCACAGACCAGCCCCAGCAAACTAGGAATAGACCTAGGGAGTGACTGGATCAGCAGAGGCAGTGGGCACTTCTGGAGCGTTCAGCCCACAGAGGGTAAGGGAGTTGAACAACTGGTCAGAAGAATCAGACAGGTGTCTCCTTGTTGGCAGTTGAAAACAGCTGCATAAAACCACTGAAGCTTGTGACAATTTATCCTCCACCGTGAAAACAGAACCCAACTATAACAAAGAGTTAAAAGTAAAGAAATAGGCTAGAAAATGAGAAAACAAAATAAAAATTCTGACTATAGAAAATTACCATGATCACAAGGAAGATCAAAACACACACTCAGAAGAAAACAGCAAAGTCAAAACTCCTACATCCAAAGCCTCCAAGAAAAATATGAATTGGTCTCTAACCATGAAAGGACTCGCAAACAATTTTAAAAATCAGTTAAGAAATGTAGAGGAAGAGAAGATGAGAGTGATGCAAGAAAAGCAGGAAAAACAAGTGGACAGCTTGGTAAAGGAGGGACAAAAAAATGCTGAAGAAAATAACACCTTAAAAAACAGAATAGAACAAATGGTTAAAAAGGTACAAAAATGCAGCTAGGTGGTGCAGTGGATAGAGCACTGGTCCTGGATTCAGGAGGACCTGAGTTTAAATCCGACCTGAGACACATACACTTACTAGCTGTGTGACCCTGGGCAAGTCACAACTCCATTGCCTAGCACCCCCCCCAAAAAAAAGCAATGAGGAGAATGTCTTGAAAAGCAGAATTGGCCAAATGAAAAAAAAAATTCAAAAATTCACTGAAGAGAAGAATTCCTTAGAAAGAAGAATTGGTTAAAAAGAAAAAAAAGAGGCACAAAAGCTCACTGAAGGAAATAATTCCTTAAAAATCAGAACTGAGAGTTCCTTAGACATCAAGGAGATCAAATCAGTCAATACTTAAAGAAATTGATTCAGGCTACTCACTGGAAAGTCAAATACTAACTCTGAAGCTTAAATACTTTGGCCACATAAGGAGAAGGCAGGACTCATTGGAAAAGACCCTGATGCTGGGAAATATTGAAGGCAAAAGGAAAAGGGGATGAGAGAGTATGAGATGCAGAGATAGATTCATGGAATCAATGAATATGAACTTGGGCAGACTTTGAGAGAGAGTGTAGGATAGAAAGGCCTGGCATGCTCTGGCTCATAGGGTCACAAAGAGTCTGACATGACTGAATGATAACATGTAAAAAACTGTTAAATGCAGGGTATACAGACAAACAAAAAAGAGGTCTTGGCCTAGAGGAGCTTGCATTCTTCTGTAAGGAAAGAACTTGCATATCTACAGGGAAGTGAATATAATTTCAAAAAGGAGAGAAATTTCATAACTAACCTGCAGAAAAGCTTTGTATAGGAGCTGGCATGGAAAAAAATGCTCCAAAACACTAATGACAAAGTAAATGCAGATTAAAACAATTCTAAGGTTCAAGCTTATCAGATTGGCAAAGCTGAAAAGACAATGACAAATATTAGAGGGGCTGCAGGAAAACAGGTACATTGATGCATTCTTAGTGGAATTCTAAATTATTCAAATACTCTGGAAAGCAATTTAGAATTATTCCTTCAAAGCTGCCTTTTCAAAGACACCTGTGCATGCCCTGTTATTTAGTAATATCAGTATTAGAACTATACCCCAGAAATGTAAAAAAAAATCTTTCTATATGTTTTAGAGCTGAGCCTTAAAGGCAGTTAAAGATTTTAAGAGGGAAAGGGAGAAGTGAGAGCATCTCAGACATAGGGGAAAGCCAGAATAAAGGCAGAAGATATTATAAAAGGTGATTTATTATAAACTGTTACAGAAAGGAATAGATCTAATAACATGAAAAAAGTAAAAGCCTCACAAATTTCAAAGGATCTTATAGTTTCATCATGAGCCTTAGCTACAACTATCAAACTTTTGGCCTTCTCTCCTTAGATAGTTTGTGACTTTCATACAACTAATCTTGGCCTTGATATTAACTGAGTTTTAGTTCAATTTCTATGCATTTGGCTGGCCAGGGCTCCCATTCCTCATTCTCTGACAGAGCCATTGATACTTGGATCCTTCTCTGAGGGTAGATCCTGAAATCTACAGGTTTGCAATTACAATAACAAAATGCTTCTCCAGCACAGAACATTCTCAACATATTATGATCTTTCTGACAATTGAGCAAGATCACTTCAGTACACTAGGCAAAACGTATTTATCAAAGGTTTTTAAACAGAGGGAAATGTAGATAAATTAATAGAAATTTAGAGAAAGGAGAGAGACTTTGGATATTGATTAGTTTGATTCCTTCATTTTACAGATGAGGAAACTGACAGCCAGCAAAGTTAAACAACTTTTCCATGGTCACATGATCAAAATTTATCTGCATTACATTCTTTTAAAGATCTCCAGTTATATATTTCTAAGTCAGGAGTAGGGAACCTGTGGCTTCAAGGCCACATTGTAGCCTTGTAGGTCTTAGCCTTTTGACTAAGTCTAGGTTTTATAGAGCAAATCTTTTTATTAAGGGGATTTGTTCTGTGAAATTTATGTTCAGTAAAAGGGCCACATTTGAGGACCTAGAGGGCCACCTGTGGCTTTGAGGCCACAGGTTCCACACCCCTGGTTCCAGTTCTATTTCTAATTTAAGTTATGTCGATAAAAGTACTGAATACAGATTTAGAGAACCCAGCTCTGTCCCTTCTGAGTTTCCTTTACTCAGCAGTAAGATGGAAATAAGTAATGTTTACATCATATAGTTTTCAGGGTTGTTTAAGGGGACTGCTTTGTAAAGCTATCTTTAACTACCTTATATTTATATGTCAATATGTTTATAATTTCTGGTAACTTAGAGTTCCCTAAGATGCACAGAAGTTAAATGACTTGTTTCTGCTCATATAGCTTATGATTTTCAGAGATAAGGTTTTAAACCAAGTCTTCCTGACTCCAGGTCCAGAGCTCTACATCCTGGTTCATGATTTCAGTATGAAGGGAAACTTTTAGTCTTCCATCTTGCTCATGAAAATGAAGAACTGGTTCACTACTGTTCCTCTCAATTTGCTACCTTTGTGATACACCATAATAGAAAGAAGCAAAGAAGCTGCTTCTCGGCCTTTAGGACTGTCAAAACATTTTTTTTAATGAGTTCCCATCTATTTTTAAAATGACATTGCTACTTCTTTGTCTTTTCTCTTCATTGCTAAATAAAAGGGAATTGTCATTTAATAAATAGACGAGTATAGGAAATTTGTCTAGAAAAAAAGGGAATCTCTAAGTGGCAAGTGGGTGGGAATATACACCTTTATTAGTGACAAATGAAATCCTAACTCTCACTGTAGTTATGATACATCAAATTTAAATGAGATTTCTTTTATTCTAAAATCACATCTGCCTCATCTGCCATCCTTTTCCTATGCTATTCTACTAAAATTACCCTTCAGAGGAGGCTCTTTGCAACTATGAATGAGACAAGAGAAAAGTGGATAAAGGAGAGGAAGGATGTATAGGGGATGTGAAGCATGAGAAGAAAGTACCTTTAAATTGTCTTTTTATATTTTTAAACCCCTCACTGTAACTAGAACACAGGCAAGTGAAAATTCTGAAATCTAAAAATTTCACGTTATTGGTTCAAATCTATCTCACCAAAACCCATTACTTATAGCTGTAGTTTAATAAAAAAAAAAATTCGCCAAAAGCGTTATTTAAAAAAAAATAACTAAGACTAAACATTACATCTTAGCTAATACATCCCCATCACGCTGGCTGCAAACCTAAATAAAAACAACTCTATTCTCTTCCCGGAAATTCAAGCGCAGACACCACCTGCCTATTTTGATATTCTACATTTTGCTTCTCAAAGTAATTTCATGTAATCATTCCATCCCAGCCGCTGAAATAATGGGGTAATAGAAAGGGTCAGATTCAGGGAGAAATATGTGAAGTCAGAAACTAGCCACTGACTCTACCAATGCATGTGATCGTGTGGATTACAAGGTTGTTCGTTGCAAGGAGACGGCGGTGGGCTACGGGCAGTGTGCCAGATCAATGAGCCCTGCGTCTCTAGGGCTCGGTGCATGGCGAAAGCAGAATTCCCGTCTGCCTCAAGGGAGCCCAGGTCTTAGCTGGCACTGCCAGGAGATTTCTTCTCCAGGGGCATTAGGGAAGGGAAAAGCGCCTCTCGGAGTCAGCTAGGCAATCTGCTGCCTCTGGATTACTCCCATCCAAGCGTGCGTGCTCTGTGTGTGTGTGTGTGTGTGTGTGTGTGTGTGTGTGTGTGTGTGTGTGTGTGTGTGACTTCGTAGACTACTCACACGTACAGTAGAGACTCACAGGAGAGCGAAAGCAGGAGAGGGCGGGAGAGCTGGGAAGAGGAGGGGGAAAGCGGGAGAGAGAGAGAGAGGGAAGGAAGGAGGCAGAAGAGATCCAGATCCAGACACAGCAGTAGCTAGCTGTTCGTGGCAGAACAGACTCAGGCTCCCTTCCCAGGCAGCACATAGAGACTGCCTCCTTCTCCTCCGCTAAGAGGCAGGAACCTCAACCAGAACAGGGGCAGCAGCAGCCAGCCGCAGCTCTAAGCTCCTACCTCTTTCCCTCTTTCCCTCCTTGTCAGTTCCTCCCCCTCTTCTGCTCTCAGCCCACAGCTATTTCCTTCTTCCAACCTCTTTAAGATCTCTGGCTTCTTTTCCGTTCTCACCTCTCTCTCCCATTTCCCCTCCCACCCGCATCCCACCTTTTCTCGCCTTTCCTTCCATCCCCCTCTCCTCCTTTTCTTTCTTTCTTTCTTTTTTTTTATTGCTGCTTTCGTCCTGTCTCGAGATAAGTGCTGTCTTCCCTAATCCTCTAGCATTTCAGCCCTAAAAACTGAGAAAGGAGTTGCTATTTTTCCCTAGTGACATTATTATTATTATTATTATCTTTATCATTTTTTATTTCCAAAAGTGCAAGACAAGGAGAGAATCCGGGATCTAAGCGGCAGCCTTAAGTGCAAGTCTAGTACCATAATAGTTACTGTTATTGCTCTTTTTTATTACTCATTTCCTCTAAGAGGGAGAGAGGAAGAAGAAAACTTCAACTATCTCCTCTGGTCAGTGATTACTATTGCTTTGGAGGAAGTGAAAGCCCCAAGGAGAAGCGGACCGAGAAAGAAGAAGAGAAAGACGACCTGCGTTTTCCTTCATCTCCCGCAGCAGCAGCAGCAGCAGCAGCAGAAGGACAAACAGAGCAGCGCGCGAGAGCAGCTGCGGAGATAGGCGAGAGGATGAGGGGCTCTGAGCCCCGGGCTGCGGGGAGGCGGCGGCGGCGTCTCCACAGCGGCTGCAGTGTGGCTGGCCGCGGCAGTGGGAGTTGCAACTCCTTTTCGGCCACAGTGTCTTTGGCCGGGTGCTGCTCTGCTCCCCGGCGAGCTCCACTTTGGACTTGTCTCCTGCTCTGCGCCGCACTCCGGACCCTCCTAGCCAGCCCGAGCAATGAAGGTAGGCAGGTGGAGGTGAAGATGGACAGCTGGTGGGGATGGAAGTGGGGGGGGAGGGAGGGGTGGACTGAGGTGAGGATGCACTTGAGCTGGGGCATGGAATGGAGGGGACCGTTGTGCTAGGGGCACCATCTGCAGCTGTCCCAACTGCTGCTCTCTTCCTTGTCTTGCTCATGACCTCCCTCCCATTAATTAGCCCACAGAGTCCCCTCTCCTGTCTTCTTTAGGTTTATTATTTGTCATTCTTCTGGTGCTGTTGCGAAGGGGGTGCGTGTGGAAGTCAAGGTGCAGGTCCATTCATGGGATCGGCTAAGTTGTTGGGGATGGTTGACCAAGGAAAGGGTTTATTTACAGGAGCCAGAGCCGTGATGTTGGGGGCTAGTCTAGCTCGGTCTTAGGGAATATAAGCTAGAAGGAGACGATTGTGGGGGGTCGAGGAAGGAGAGCTACTGGAAGGGCGACAGTATTTCAATCCTGGGAGCTAGAAACCGTTATCTAAGGGAGGTGAGTGGGAACCTTTACTTGGAGCAAAAGTGAGTAGCAAGAGCTGGTATTTAGGGTGGCACCAGCTGCTATTTCAGGGTTGGTGGCGGGAGCTGTTATGGGGAGGGAAGGAGGCGCACGAGTGTTGGAGCGAAGGCTCTCAACACTGTTGATGCCCATCTGTTTATGACTATAATAATTACACCAAGGCGGCCGTGCGGTAGGAGGCGGGGGAGGAGGAGGGGAAGACGCGGAGGGTGGAGGAGACGCAGGGAGATGGGGGGGGAGGAGGGGGCTGTCTCTGCCAGGAAGTTGCTGCTGGAGCTTGTGAATGAATGTCTCTCCGGGTTTTTCGGTGCCTCTGGGGAGTGGGAAAAACTCAGCTCCGGATACTGGAAGTCTCCTGACTTCCTTCCCACCTCCCAAAACGCTTTACCTCTTTTTTTCTATAGCTGCAGGTTCAGTTGTACTGTTGTTTTTGCCGTCTGTGTGATGGGCTGGGGGCGCGGGAACAGCACCTGTGCCTTCTCTTCTGGTGCGGGGCCCTAGTGGGCTGTGCCTAGTCCTCTGTGCCGCTTCTCTTCAACCAGCCTCCCGGAGTCCCGGTCCAGGCTCGGAGTATTTCTTTTCATACACATTGAGCTTCACGGGGACACTCTAGGCTTTAGCTCAGGATCTAGGAAATCCGCCTACGGTCAGGGAGACGGAGGGCCGTTTTACTTGTTTTATTTACCCCCGCCAAGAACGAGTTTCCAACTAGAATCCTCGATATGGGGCTCAGGAAGGGGATGAGAATCCGTGCCTTTCCGGGGAGGTGGCCAAAAGACTCATAAGATGCTGCAGTCAGCCACCTCCTAGTGTGCACGCTTACAGCCTCCATTCTTGGGGAAGGCGCTAAACTGTTTTCATACAGATGCAGCCTTCCAAGATTCGATGCCAAAAATAAGAAACTAAAATTAAAGCTAATCTCTTCCCTCTCTTACTTCACTAAATCAACTTTTTCCTCTTTTCTTAGCTGTTATACGAGGTCCTGATTCCAAAATGTCTTAAGGAGGGGGATTCTTTTAAAATACCCCGTTGCCAAGGATAGACTAAGCAGAGGGTTTCCTGCCTTCTTATAATGTGGATAAGCTAGGGAAGGGTTTCCCTTCCCCCCCCAAAAAAAAAGTTTCATCTCCTCTGTTGAAAGTCAGGAGAAATCCACCAGGCTCTGAGGTACTTTGTCTTGATTCTAGATGGTCATAGTCGTACTAAAGGAGGTCCTGATTTTAATGTAAACCATTCTGATAAGTACCACTTACCCAGGACAGTTTGCTTGTTTTGAAGTCCATTTCTCCATGTTTTAGTGGTAGCCTTGAAGACAGGTAGGAGGGCACTGAGAAGAATAGGTCTTGGTGTGTGTGTGTGTGTGTGTGTGTGTGTGTATGTGTGTGTGTGTGTGTCAAGGGGGTAGTAAATGGAAGTATGTAACAACCATCTATTCCCCCCAAGAACTTCATAGAACAGATCATATTAAACATATCAGACAACCGAGTCTGTTAACATAGATTAGTCCTAAGCTATTTAAGCAGTATTTCATCTCCTTTCAGAACTGGGGAAGACATGAGGTGCAGGAAGGTATATTTTAGATCAAAAATAAAAAATAAAAAAATGCCTTCTTGGAAATGCCTGAGATTCTAATAGTCCACAATTCAACACTTGTGTTTAGAGAACAACAAAAATAGCAGAAAGAAACTTAAATAGAAACAGAAACGAAATCCTTAATATTGTTGATCTAATCTCTTTTCTTAATCTCACCTCCATTCTGTACTTTTTCATTTTTTTTCTGACATTTGTTTTACTGTCCCAGACCTTTGAGTGCTTCTTTTAAATTTTGCAAACTTGCTCTTCTCTCTTCAAACATCCATTGCTTTTAATTGTGAAGAAATAGAAATTATACCCTGAATCTATTCTGACACTACTCTCCTCTCTCATTTCCCCCTCCTTCTTTGTCCCTCCCCCAGTGTCTTTATGTAGGCTCAGCAATTTGAGGGGTTGAGAAGCAGGTGGAGTTCTTTGGGAAGATCAGATATGTGCAATGTGCTATAGAAACATAGATTCTTAGTGTTAATTCTTTTTTTTTCCATTTCCCCTCTTCCTAATAAGGCATATATATATATATATATATATATATATATATATATATATATATATGTATGTATATACATATAATCCTTAGGTCTCTTAATCTATTTGTATGTATGTGATATATGGTCCTGATTATATAAGAAAATAAGTTACAATCCCAGTAGAAAATAGTTTAAAAGTTTGCAGTCAAAAGATCCAGTTAGCTTTTAATGATTTGTTTGTTGGACTTCTATAAGAAAAGGTAAAAAAAAATGAAATAGGTGATTCCAGAGTCTGGAATCTGTGGATCAGTATAAACTGAATTTTCCAATATTATGGCTTGTGGAAAATATAACTGAAGAAGGCACATGCATTCTTTGACCTCATTGGTGAAGAATATTATTAGCCAGATAGCAGTCCCTTTAAACGAAGTGGCCTTGTTCTTTGGCTCAGTTGTCCTATTTCCATAAAGTTGTATTGTTCTGTACAGAAAAACCTTTGAACTAGCTAACAGGTATACTAACTTTAAAAGAAATAATAAATTAATTCAAAGTCTCATTTGACAAAGTGAGTCCTCTGTGACGTGTAAGTAGAACAGTGCAAAGAACAGATTTCCCTAGCTCTTTTAACCACAATAAGTGCATATTTTAGTACTTTCAATAAACATGAAAGCAAGACCATTGAGGTATGGATTCTGGATGTGGGCAAAAACTTAATAGCTGACCTTTTAAATTATTATTACTGTTTTTTTAATTAATTTACTGTCTGGGCATTTATTTGTAAACAAGGAATATTTGACCAGTACTTTTCACAGCAGGGATTCTTGGCCAATTACTGCTGAACAGCTCTGCCTTTCATTATGTAGTGAATCAAGCTTAATTCATTGAAACCACAGTCAGTACAGTTCTTCTTTGCTACTTACTGACAGTTATCAGCAGTATGTTTTTGAAAAGTCCAGTTTCTTTTCTCTGAATGATTTCTACATTTGGAGAAAAAAAAATGTGTGGACAGGAGTAGGGGGAGGCTCTTGATAGAAATGAGAATAAACTCCTGAATTGATTGAGTGAAAATAATGACTCTTTTCTTCAGAAAGGAGAGAAGAATGTTTGTGTCAACTTTTTTTTTATGTTTTTGAACATGTTTCTAAAACCAGTAGATCCCAAATATGGCAAATGTATTTAAATAAAATAATGTGTTATGTGGGAGTTATTATAATTGCACAATACTTTGCTCTAAGCAGTCCTTTCAAATTGGGGAAGCAAACAGTAATAGGATCATAACTGTGCTTTAGGATCATAAAAGGAAAGAAATATTCTTGGCTTCTCCTATTGTTTCTAAATCTTAAAAAGTGAATTGCAAAAGGATTTTTGAAACTTCATGTCCTGGAGTAGTAAGAACCAAATAACAGTGAGTGTTTTTGTTTTTAATGTTTCGAGAGGAAAACTACTTTCAAAATGTTTATTTGATAAATTAGTTTATGTTTAGTATAATTATGCAGGAAAATACATGTTTAAGAATTTTTTTTTAAATGAAGATTTTTCCTTTGGAAGACACTTTCTTAATGTTATTATAATCATCTGTGACAAAGTTTTAAGATAAGTTATAAATATATAGATAAATTATTATATTATGGAACAATGATTGTTTACATTATGGGTATAGGCATTCTTATTTACAAAACAAAATTACCTGTGAAAATTAAGGTATTAGTGGGCTTTTTTTCCTGCTTTTTTATACATGTTATTTAAATCCACCTAGAGTACAATGGGAACTAATTCAGACTCACAGGTCAGTATACCAAAATTATTTAGTTAAAAATAGTATATACCAAGTTTAAGGAACTGATTTTTCCTCAATTTATTGTACTAATTAATTATTTTGAGATTTTGGGATATACATATATTGATAGTTGTATTGATTACCCTTTTAACATGATTTCCCCCCCTTTAATCAGTTTAGTTTAAACTCCTATTTGCATAAAATTTGCCCTTTTGCTTTGATTTTTTAAGCAACATGAAAATATAAATGATGATTTTAAATGATTATAAAGGGTTGTAACTTTTTGGAAGGTAGGTTTCAAAGTTTACTGTGGGAAAAGAAACACATAAGAGATAAGGAACTAGTATAAAATTATTATTGATTTCTTATACATTACCTAAAATGCGTCCTTAAGTTCAAGTTACTGAATCCTATTTTACCAAGTAAAAGTGTATACTAATTAGAAAAGCAACCTAATCACATTAAATCAGTTTCAGTAGAGCTGTCTTTAAAATTTTAAATTGTACACCTGATAATTTCACACTGAATTTACAAATTATGAAAAAAAAACTACATGTTGAGTCTTAATTGAAGTTTAAATCACCAATCCCTTTTTTTCTTAATGATTCATTAGGTACAGATTGACTTATTATT